CCAAATCACAATACACATTGGCAATGATCTTCCCGCAGTAATGCAGGGGTACATTGATGCCTCCTTCTCCCTGATTTCCTTAGCTGATGAACTGGCTTGGTGGGAGAGAAGCAATATGTTTCATAAGGACATCTGAGGCAGGAATTTATTTTTTCCCCAGTTTCTGTACTGAGGCTTGAGGCACCACTATTTTCTAATTCTAAGACAAGCATTTGAACTACTCCCCACACCCTTTTTTTACTGTGCTGTGCAGCTTGAGTCTATGAGAGATTTTGATATTAGCTCCCATTATTTTTATAGCCAAGTGAAAACCTACACAACAGAAACAGGCTATGATTATTAAACAAATGCAAAAGCTTATTTAGAAATCCTCTTGCTTCACAATAACAGAAAGCTGGACCAGAAAGGTCAAAATGAGTGAGCTCATAGCAGGGAGGCATTGCTGGGGCCATGAAACAGTGCAGCCCCGAAAGTTGTGACTAATCTCTTGCTTCTACAGTGGTGGCTCTTCCTGGCACAGTCCTACACTAAAAAACATAAAAGAGGCACAACCATGGCAACTGGCTGCAGAGCAGTGGATGTTTGTTTTACATTTGTAAACCTTCAAGAAGTGTAAAAAACAAGAATACAGCAGATTAACTCCCCTCTGTTATATTTTCAATACTGTGTGACATTGGCCTGCTCTTAAAAGTTAGGGCACATCTCAACCATATTTAAACCCCAGGGGAAGAGAATTAATTTCTGAAATATCCAAACCAATCAAACCAGTAACCTCCCATCAGGTGGACAGTAGCTCTTAGCCAATAGACAATTTTTTTAGCTAACAGGTTGGTGTGTTTTAACTGCCACTGGCATTACTTTTTCTCAAAGTGCACTCACCCTTTTATTAAAAGAATCTCAGCTAATTATTCTGTACACAGATAGTATTTAAGTGTAAGTAATGTTGTATTACCTACCTACAGATTAGACTTTTTAACATTTAGGTTTGTCTTTGAGGGGGGGGGAAAAAAAAAAAAAAAAAAAAAAAAAAAGAGCAAGCTGTAATATTCAGGCTTTCTTGTCTGTTGTCCTAAGCTTTACAGGTTATTGGATTTCTTCTACTCCCCCTGGAAAGCCTTGGGAACCAGGCAAGGGCAGGAGCAGTGTTCAGAGCCAGGCAGGCAAAGGTTTAATGGAGATATGTTAATTTGAAGGGTTGCCCAGTTTCACTCTTTGCAACCAGGATACCAGTCCCAGGCAATATTCCAATTTGAATATACTAATTTAAGAATAGAAAACAAAGTAAGAGAATTTTATCAGCTTTACTTTATTTGGTGTTTTTCCTTGAACTAAAACAAACATCTAAAGAGCAAATTTTTTACTGGAAAGCAGTTTTCTTGTTATGTGAACATCTCAAATATTTCAAAAATATCCCACTTCTACATAGTGTGAAATTAAGTTTTTTTTTTTTTTTTTTTTTTTTTAATACAAGCTTCCAGAATAATTAGTCACCTTAGGTCTGTGCCAGTAGCAAAATGTGATTTTGAAATCTACCTGTTAATGCCTGGAACTAACTACTCTAGTAATTATTGTTATTAGTGGTACTACATCGTTTTCATAAACAAATAGAGATAATTGGCATTCATACCCTGCACATATGGCCATTCTAGATAAGTCTACCTCCACCTTTTGTTTGTTTGTTTGTTTGTTTAATTTGGTTCAATTCTTTGAAAAAAAAAATGTGACCACAGGTAATTATAGACTGGGAGGTTATAAGATCTCTATTAATCTGAGGTCTTTAAGAACAGTATAAACTGATCAGGCAGGGCTCATGGGCAGCAACTTTGGGTGGGGAGATAAATTAGATGACTTCATACACTTTCCTGCAGTGCTAGGACTGTACAGATAAAGCCCCACCTTCACCAGCACCAATCTCCCTCCCAGGTGAGTTACAATACATCTCCTCACTGATATGCTTGCATAGTGTCTAGTGTACACAGAATTTAGTGATGCTCATTTCTATTATTTACAGAGATTTTAATAATACATTGCTATTAGAAATGTACTGCCAGATAAAATAACGATGTGGAAAGGTGGATATTCTGGGAGCTGAGTTGGGAGGGACCCTGACTTCCAGACAGAGAAAGGAACTGCCCCCAAGCCAAGCACAGCATTGCTGCAGCATTATGCAGTTAATAACACATTTAATTTTCTAAGTGACTGAGCTTTTCCACATCACATACACCAAACAGGGGAAAGCAAGCCAGTTACACATGTACATTCTATCACCTTCTCAAAAACATCCTGTCCATATCATGGGCATTATTCATAGCACGTGTTTAATTCTTTAATTGTAACATACAAGCAAGTAAGAGGTACGATCCAGATTCTCAACTTGCAATTCATGTGCTGGAGGTGAGCTGAGTTCTCAGAAAGTTCCTCAAGGTTGTAGATGCTGGAATGTGTTTTCCTGAGCAGGTCTGAGCATTCATGATCTGCCATGCAAATTTTCTTGCCTGCTACTTATCACTGAGAACAGACTAATGCTAGCCTGACCCTCAGTGAAACCTGCATAACTTCCACAATGTTTATTGCTAAGAGATGTGGGTGTTCATATCTGCTGTGACCTTGTGAAGAAGCCTCCTGCTGTGTTGCTAACAGAGCAGGTAGATACTACTGGACAAACCCCACAACACCCGGGGCAGCAGACTTCCTTGGACCACACAGCTCTCAGACTCTGCAGTTAATCAGTGTGCTAGGTATCCCATCGTGTTCAGAGTTTTTATTTAAATCACTGACACAGGACATTTATACAAAATACCTTTGCTGTACAGCATTACTAAGCGTGGTTTGTGCTTCCAGGTGCACCAATGCCATCCCAAGCACTTGAAGCAGATGAGGATTTGCAGCTGTGGAAAGAGGTAAGCGTCATCTGCCATATGGTATACTCCCATTTCATCTGTGCCCATCCTTGCTACAGTTGCACCTCACTCTCCAGTATTTCTCTTGCATGGAGTTCAGGTGCTTCTTCTTCCAGTCCTGATCCTCCTGTACATCTCCTATCCTGACATCAGTGAAGAAGTGGAACATCTTCTTTTCCAGATTTTCTGAACAGTTGTTCTAGGAAGGTGTTGAGGCTGGGTGTTGAGATGTCGTTCCAGGAGAAGACTGTCTTGGCTCAATGGAGAGCTACATTTGAGAACAGTTGTCATTTAACTGTGAATGAACAGTCACTGTTCCTGGAAGCAACACAGTGTCCTGTCTGGTAGTTTTATAGTCCGTACATGATATGCAGGAGTTGTTTCAACTAACTTTTGCTTCTTCTGTTCTGCACACAGGGCTGGGATACTGTATTTAATCCTAATCCTAGGCTTTCAGTTGACTAGCAAAGGATAATGTGTCAATTAGCCCCTCTAACATTTTGCTACCCATCACTACTATAACTTCCACTCTCATCTTTGAAATGAACATTGTCTTTGACTCTAGGATGTGACACGTGTGTTAACATGGGCTCTTCCCTGCCCTTTTGGAACAGATGGAGTGACAGGGCATGACACACAGAGAGGGTTTAGCCTGCAACTCGCAGGCCCTGGTGTTGCTGTAACCTTCAAGTATTCTGTTGACATTTAATTTTGTAGCTTCTGATAACATTAGAAGGCGAGTGACTCACCAGGGGTACAGATGCAGGGAGTAAATTTCTTCCTATTGCAGCCATTACAGAAGACACTTCCCTTACTGTCAGCTCCCCTTAAGTTCATTTTGGAAGTGTTTTCTCAAACACCAACATATGTCTAGACTAGCACTTGAACAAGCGCTGGTGATACTTATCTCCTGGGGAAAAATGATCTTTTGGGAAGTAAGGTCCTGATAGCTTTAAGGAGTTCATGAAAATTATTTACTTTCTGGATTGAAAAAAGCTATTTTAAACATTTCTGCATTTATTGCTAAGATTTGCTAGTTGTAACACAGGATTTGTCCCTATGCCAACTATAGGCAAAGGCAAAGTTTCCGTTGATTTCAGTGAACAAAGAAGTACGCATAGTATACTAAATGCTGTGTAAAATTTTGTAACGTAAGCAATATAAAACACTGTTATATCAAGAATAATGCAGGACTGGAGAGGGTCTAAGGAAAGAGAATTAGATGCATAAGTGCATAACCTAAATCAAGCTGAGTAAATCAAACTGATTACAGAATCATACCAGCTCACCAGACTCTCTTGGAGTGAAAAGAATCAGTCCTTCCCTGTTTGTTACTTTATTAGTGTTTGTTACTTTATTCAGTTTGTTATTTTATTCAGAAGCCCTGCTGCTAAATTAACATAGTATTTTCCAGGAATGACTCGGAGTTTATAAATATGGGAACTTTGTAACTAAGTATTGTGCTCCTGTACTTGTCTCTGGCATCCTTTTGTTTCTTTGTTATTTAATCAGCACCAAACAACTCATAAGCTCCCACCCTCAGGCCACATTTCTGAGATTGCAGAGAAAATTACTGAGCAGATGCATCAAGGATGATTGAAACTATTAAATTTTTTAAAAAGGAATTAACAGAAATCATAGCTTTTCCTCAGCCCTTGCTTTGTTCATGCAGGCTTCAGCTGAAGGATACCTTGCCTTGCATTGTGTCCGACACAAAGCAGTCTCTGGCTTGTCCTCCTACTGAATTATGGTCATTGTCTAAGAGTCACCTCCAACGACAGAACAGGCAAATAAACAAAATTAAAACAAAACAAAACAAAACAAAACAAAACAACCAAACAAAACACAACAAAACCCACTACAAAACAAAATCCATCACCAAGAAGAAACAGCAGAGTTTTAATTTAGGTTACCAAAATGACTTCAGTTTAGTTCATCTCATTCACTGCTGATTTCTCCCTCTTCGTTTTCTTACTCTGAAAGTAGTGAAGATGGACTAATATACCCAGAGACAAACAACAGCAAAATGAAGGGAAAAGAGAATGGGAAAGATTCGTTACCCACAAAAACTATTTGAAGGGGGAATTCTGTGAGCTATTAGCTTTCCCACTATCTCTGCTAATGCTTTCTCATAGATTGTCTCTAGAGAAATGAATCATGTCTTGTCTTGAAGTACCCAGATATGCATTATTTGCTTATTACTTTTTTCATTTAATGTTTTAATTGCTAAAGAGGGCTGTTTAGGGCTTTTTACCTATAACAAAATTATAAGACTCATTGCATTGCCTGCTCTTTATTTTATTTTATGTAGTCTGTGAACAAGATGATTTCAGAGCTTTCTGGCACCTGGACTAACAGTATCAAATATTCAGTGGAAAAAAATAGCACATACCAATGGAAGTTGCTATTGATACAATTTTAAATTTATACAAGGAAAGGTCGAGCCTCTTTTTTTTTTTTTTTTTTTTTTTTTAATTATTATTATTAAACTGTGCAGCTTCAGTTGGAGTATTGGAGATTTTTTTCTTCTCCTTACAGAAAGTTTTCAGCTTTGGTAATATTACTTTTAGCATTTGTAATATTACTTCCATTAATTCAAATATCCTTCCTTCCATCTCTTCTTCCTTTCCGATCGATAACTCCACCAAAAATGATTCTGTATTACAGAATTCTTTCATCTTGGGAAAGACAACAGAAGGAGGATGTGATTAATTGACTACACAAGGTCATGAACAGTAGGGAGACGATGGGTGGGAATCACTTATTCATTACTTCTTCCAAGACAAGACCATGATAGCACTGAATGAAGATAGCTTTGACAAGACTGATCGAGACAAACAGAAGTGGTATTTCATGCACTGTTTAGGAAACCCTTGCCACAGGACTTTACGGATGCTAATAGTTTACAGTGGTTCAGAGAGAGATCCGTCAAATTCACAGCACAAAAATTCACTGAGTTTTATTACAAAGGACCTGCTTCCAACTCACAGTGCTTGTACTACATATAGCTGGTGATTGGAGATCATGGGTTTTACTTAACCACTGGCTTTGTCTTAGGCTCTCCCTGGGTGTTGACATTTGGCCATTTTTGGAGATAAGATGTAGAGCTAAACAAATATGTGTTCTGATCCAGACAAAATGGGAGTTGGGACTTCTGGATTTGTTCTGGTTTTGTGTCTATGTGTGTCACATTCCGTTCTGTGCTGACTGTCTAAGTTAGTCAGCAATTACTTCTTCCACAGTGCTCTTCGAGTTTAGATCCCTTAAAATATATTGAATACATCTCTTACTAGTACTGTGATTTGGGAATCACCTCCTTTAAACAAAAATGGGTAAGGCTCCTCATTTGCCAAACAAATCAGTGCAAACCTCAGATATTGGGTGCTTGGTGACTTGAACAAGTTGACTGGCATGCATAAGATGTGCTGGCACATATCACTCAAGACATGCGTGTGTCATACACTTGCAGGGATGCTGGAATCCAATTGGAAGAGTTGTATTTGAGGGCTGCTCATTGAATCACTTGCTTTAGTTTTGTCATTTTCTTCACAGTTCTGTATAATCCAAAGATATCACATAAGAGATTTAAATTCATAGTCCATATCCCAGATTATTAAAATAATAATTTAAAATATGACTTAGTCTGAGAAGGTTTCAAATAAGAGGGGCATGATGCAGGTAAGTGAATAAAGAACACAGATATGTATGTGTTTGTTTGGATAATGTATACATTTTTTTTAATGTGGTTAAGGCCTTTTTTTTCCTTGAATGAAAAATATTTCATGAATGTACCTATAAGGATTCCATGGTGGACAAGCTTGCCATGGCTTTAGCTGCACTGAACTGTTTCTGAAAATACATATTTCACTTGTTTTTATTAATATGACTTCTTAAAAAAGGACTGTGTGAATTTTACAGATAGATGATGCATGTTCTGCCTACCTGTCTACAGATTCTCAGCTTCAGGTAAGTCAGACAGAGGTTACTTTATTATTTTGATGCTATTTATTATATGCAGTAGAATTGGAAGTGTGATATCTGAGTTCATGTTTTCTTTGTATTAGGTGTCCAATACAATGGAAGAACTTTGCTTTTTGGTCATGGGATTTCTTCAGAAACCACAGGTAACATACAGGAAAGACTATTTAGCATTTCTGAAGCCTAATCTCTCAGTGTGCCAGTGAATTCTGAAGACCCAGTATCTGAAATGTCACTCAGTGCTGGGAGTAATACTATCAGTTCTTAATCTGAAATGCCATGTGTCCAATACTTACTAAAGATAACAGGGACACTCTAATGTTTGGAAAATAATCTTCAGGTTGGATACAAGGTTTTAGGTGGTTTTATTGATCTAGATTAGAAAAATCATGAGCTCTCAGTAGAGAAAGAAATTTACTCAGGAGAGTCTAGGCATATACAAAGGATCATCCACTAAACCCATCTACTCTCCTAGTGGAGAGTAAATCAATGCTCTCTACAGAGTGTGAAAGAATTAGTAACAATGATCAGCAAAGACATGTAATATATCTGCCAAGAAAATACAATATTCCAATCCAGTATTGAAAAGTTTATAATGTTTTTTTTTTTTTTTTTTTAAACAAATAAAAGCCTCTCTACTGATTGTTATTCCCACAGGGTTTAGATGAAAAAGACAACACCAAAAGGGTAAGACTTCTATGTATGTTTTATGATCACACTAAAATTGTCAAGAAAATTATAAGACCCTTGCCCTGTTTTGTAGTAAAATCCCACTTTTAATTTTTTTGAACAGTTCTTATTTCATTATTCTAAGACTCATGACTCAGGCAACTCAGACACCGTGGTAAGTGGCATAGCACCTCCCTGTGAGTACATGTGTGCTTGTACTAAAACCAAGGTAATGTTGCTTTTTGCAGCAGTTTCTCCAACTGTACAGCATGCTCAGAACTGGGAGTTTCATGTTTAAGATACAGAATGTGTTTTAATAACATGGGAGAGGATCATCAGTACTGTACAGGTGTGGAAAAAAAAACCCACTAAACATCCATGGAATCCCAAATGCATCTTAATCTTGTTGTTTCAACATTTAAATACAAGACCAAGTATTTTTTCCTGGTATTGGAACATAATATATGCAGTGAAATAATGCAGATTTGTAAAAGCTGAGAACATGACCATAAGTATTAAGAACACTTAATGATCTTTATTAATTATTAAATTGTATGTACTTATTTGTGCACATCATAAATATGCACCAAGCAAAATAGTATTTAAGACTCAGACTTTGGATTATATTTTAGATTTAAAATATTATTTAAAACTAGCCTAGAATTGTTGCTATAAAAATATTCTTATAAACCAATATATAAACTATGTGTGATCCATTCTTGCTTTTAAATTGCAAACATAATATGTTATTTCTGTGCATCTATGTGGCTTTCCTGTGCACCATAGGATTTTGAGAAACTTAAACATATTCATGTTTTCTCATTTCTTAGCAATCATTCTTAAACATTAATGTCCATTTTTGCCTTGTTCTTTACCTGTCTTCAGAAATATGTGGCATATTTCCCAGAAAGTGATTTTGCTGATACTGGGGTCATGATAGTGCTTCTCTGGAGGTTTTAATGGTAATCAGGGCACAGTGAAATGAGCTATTTCTGCTGCTGCTCCTGCTTAAGAGGTTACTTCATCCTACTTGGTCCCCATCCTGAATACCTTTGTCCCTTCCTGCCCCCCGAGATTACTGCTTTCTCACTTCTTCTGGTTTAGCTGTTTTCTAGCCCAGTTCTCAGAGATACTAATTTCGGTGAGACCCCTCATTCCTTGGCTTTATTAACCTCTCTCCACGGACTGCAAGGCAGAGCCAAAGTGGCCAGCTGAGTTGCCCTTTAACTCCTCCACTCACATCAGACTTCTACTTCTTTAGATATTATGCTGCCACATTGCAGACAGTGCAAAATTGGCTCCAAGTAGGCAAGTTCATTTTACCTATTTAGTACATTAACATTTTGGTAGCTCTAGTTATTGCATATATTATAATTCTCTTTGTTGTGTTACTTTTCTAAGAACTATTGTACCAAAAATGCATTATTTTTAAATTACATTTACATGAGCTGAAGATTTAAATGGGTGCACACTATGCTACTGTGCTTAACTTATGTCTGCATATGCTTGCTTATGTCTGTAACCATAAAATCTTGTTGAACGCAAGGGATTTCACTACTGGAACCTTGTCTTTTAGGCAGAGTGTCCAGTGCCATGGTTACAAATTTTACTTGAGAATGGATCCATCCTGCACAATATTTTGTAGAAAAAAAATAAAATTCTTGCTGCAACTTAAATTATTCTGAAGAAAATGAACTTTTCAGTATAATGGAGATTGAAGTTATCAGCTTCCATAGTAGATAATCATAGAAATGTTAGTAGGAGTACTGTATAGAAACATCCTCTGTACTACTCACAGAGGCTGATGAAAATCTGAATATCTGCAATTGCCTGGGCAAGAAGTCTGTAAACACTTCTGAACTTTCAATGAGTAAATGTGAGGACACATAGCTTTTGCTTCCATCATGCTGTGAGTCACATTCATAGTGTAAATATAAGTGTTGGTACCTGTTTGTTGTTAAATCGGAATGTTAAAAAAAAAAAGTTTCTCAATTAACATCTTCAGACCTTTATTGATGCACATTTAGTCCATAAGCCAATACTGCAGGAAGAGATTTTTTTTGCATCATAAGGTCTGAATTTCATTGTGGCTCATGTGTCTGTGTTCGTGTCCTCTCAGTCGTCTGTCCTGCATCCTTTGCTGCAACTCGTTCCCCAGCTTAATGAGAGAAGACTGAAGAGATACAAAGCGGACGTATGTAATCTTAAACTCTGCATGCTTGGATTCTCACATTTTGTGATTTGTTAGCTCTTTTAAAAATGTCCATGTAGACCTTTCTGCTTGTAACATTTTTATTTTCATGATTTAATATCACACTAGTCTATTTTCATTAGAAACATGAGATTTTTCAATTCTTTAATTATGGAAAAATAATCCTGCTGATATTTAACATTTAAAATAAAAAATCACAGAAGTAATATATGCTTAACACAGAACAGTAATATATGAAGTAATATATGCTTAACACAGAGCCTATGTATCAAAATGGATCTGTTAGTTCTTTTATAAAAGGAAAATACCTTCAAATATGTCTATACCATTATATTGCAGTTGGGTTATATTTTCTAGGAGAGGTTCTTTTTTTTTTTTTTTTTTTCCTGTTTGGAATTCAAACCTTATCTACTCCTTAAACATATATTATTTATGACCTACAGCACTAAGAATTTCGAAGTAATTTATAGGCAATTTTACTGTTAACTAATTTTACTGATAAACAGTAAACTATACTGTAACAACTCACAAATGAAATGTAATGAATTGTTTCTGTTTAAGAGCTCTCAAGCCATCATGTGCTAAACGACTTAAAGGCTTATTTTTTACAGCAAAGGAACATCAAAGTCCATACTTTACAAATCCTTGGGGGGGGGGG